TGGAAACTTGTGTATTGTGCATTTTTCAGCAAAACATTTGGCTTCCTGTGGCTTGAAAAGCCTAAATGCTTTGAATGGAGAGCTAGAATAAAGTAGAGGTAGTAGTCTCTGGTGTTAGCAAACACAGTTCATTGACTCTCCTCTATAAACTGAGAAGAGTGTGATGATACACTAGAATAGCTCAAGAGTCTAATTTTAAATGATTTAAGTAGAGTGAAATGAAGCGTACAGCTAAAAGCTTAAAATATAAAGAGGAATGTTGCTTCAGGAGCTGGATGTACACTTCCTGTGGGACTACAGAGGCTAAAGGGGTCTTTATCACAGGAAGGACGGGTGAGGGTCAGCATATCAGTCGAACAGTGCCAAATGGTCTCTCGGAATGTTGCTTGTTTAAATATCATTTGATACTGAATGGATTTAAATGTTTTAGGAAGTAAAATGTTCTTTTAAAGGGGCAATATGTAATTTTTAATGTATTTTATTATTTAAAATCAGTATTTTTATCCGTAAATATGTCCTCAATGGTCTACAAATACCCACAAATGCCAATTATCTGACTTATCCTAACAGAACAATGTGTACTAGGCCAATGCGTTTTCATTCAGAGCCAGAGTGACGTAACTAAAAGCAGCAGAAATGGAGGAGCAGAGCAGTGAGAGGCGCTTGTCTCTGCCCCGGCAAGTTTAAAAGGCTGCATTGCAAATCTTTGTCGCCAGAAAAGTCCAAAATAGATTGTAAAAGGAAACGTGACCGGAGATTACAAAACACACAAGTTAATGTCGGGATAGCTTTTTCCAGGTGGATAGAGCTAATGCAGGAGAAAGATTTCGAAAGAGAGTCCTGCTTTCTTCTCGACAAGTCAATGTTACAGTCGTAATTACAAGCTTTTTTTTTCATTGTTTGGTTGGGTACTTTATTTTATAGACAGATGAACATCTATAGTTAAAAGATGATGATATCCAACAATGCACATACTTCAGAAAATATAACGAATAAAGAAGGCATAACGTTTTTCACAGTCAGTAATTCATACTGTAACATTCGTTTGTTCGTTGTGTCAAGTTGCTGTTTGGTTGAAATAAGAAACCTGTTCACCCGAAGGAACACTCGACAAAGTGCTATTAGAACGCATCCTGTCATAGCTTTTTGGTACATAATGGCTACCGTAGATGCAACGCCCATTTGAAAAAGCGAGGCGCTGGAGAGCACAATTCGTTTGAATGCAAAATACATTTTCACAGCTAGATGGGAGTAATTCCTACACATTGTCCCTTTAAAGAAGCAAAAAATATTGTTGAAAAATAGAGGTCCTAAATTTAAATCTTACTATTGGTGTAATTTTAGAAATGGAGAATGACAAATCCATATTCCACCTTTTTTTTATTGGGTTTATTATGGGGTTTTAAAGAAAAAAATACTTTTAGTTAATGATAACACTGGTAATATGATGTTTGTACAAGAAACTAGAAAAAACATACACTCAAGCATGCAGACAGGAAATATTTAGACTGGTCACTTCCAGCCTTTGGAAAAATTTTGCATTGGGAAGCTCAGCATTATTTTCTTTTTCCACATTTTGTTTGCTTTTCCTTTCCACTTCAGTTTGGTGTATGAGCATGCTATCAATACGTTTCATTGCTCATTCATTAAAATTAATGAAGATTACAAGCCTACACATTTTCTTTCAAAAATGCCTGTCAAGTTAATCTCAATCTGTTGTTTTAGTAATTTATGCTTTAGTAATTTAAAGGCAGAAAAAAGGACATTTTCATCACACGAGAATGGCTATGTCCTTCACAAAGACTTCACAGCAATTGAGCTCAAGTTTACACTATTCAAACACTGGATTTTACAAGCACAGACTCTGTGTTGACTGTGAAACTTTGCACCTTTAAATAAACCTGATACTTGAGGTCAACTGTAATTGACATATTTCAGTGCTTGCGTGGCTTTGGACTCACTCATGTGTGAATTTGTCGAGTTTAACTGTGGATGTGGTAGAAATGGGCTGAGGTTCATTCCCTGAGGCTTTCAAACATGGATCTGCCTTTCTGGCATGGCAACAGCACATTTATTCAGTGACCTAAATAAATGAGTGGATTCGGGAATGCTGGGAGAGCAGGTCTGCATCGATTCTCTAGCATTTATTGGTAACACTTAACAATAAGGTGCATTAACACTAACTAAGAATGAACAATACTTCTACAGCATTTATTAATCTTAGCTAATATTCATTTCAACATTTACTAATACATTATTAAAATCAAAGGTTGTATTTAACAGTACTGGAAACTAACATGAACAAACAATGAACAGCTGTATTTTTTATTTACCAACATTACCAAAGATTAACTAATATAGTAACAACTGTATTGCTCATTGTTGGTTCATGTTAGGTAATACATATTATTTGTGTTTAGATTATGACTTGATATTCTAGCTCAGTGCGTAAAATATGAAGAATCTCTTAGTTCTGAATGTCTGTGGCAAAAAAGGGAAGCCTGCGAATAATGTTATTTTAGAGTAACAGTACTGTCACACACACCTTTAGAAAGCAGGTGTGGAGAACACGCCACAGCACGTCTTTGTTCATGCCAGATTTGTTCAGAGGGTCATTCATTCAGTTGAGGTGTACTCTGTGATTACTGTCTCCAGCAGAATACACACCCCAAGGCGTGCCACATTATATTTAATCAGGAATTTGTCTTCCTTATATTACTCCCATAACCCTAACAGACTTGGACTATTACTTTATTAAAGGTCTTTGTTAGAAAGTCGTATTTTAATGGACGTTTTTTGTTCTATAAAATATAAATTTGGGGAACTGCGTGAAGGTGTATTGTATCTCTCAGGAAAACGTTGTTTGTCAGAGAAGAATTCAGTGGTTGCACATTCCTGGATTGTTTTAGTTCTGCTGTGGCACCACAATGAAACATTTATTGTGTGGGAGCTGACGAGCAGGGCCTCAATGGACTGTGTGTGTGTGTGTGGTGTGTCAAACACATCATCCCTCACTATCGGTATGTTTTTCGCCTTAGAGTGTCATGTAATGTTATACTTTTCTCACGAGATTAGTTTCAGACATCATCTCCCATGGTAGTTCATGTTTCTAATCAGTAGCAGTTGTGAGGATGTGCTGCATCTTTAAAGGGATACTTCACCCAAAACTTTCCCCATATGTAGACAACCGGTGAAGTTTGAGGTCGTAAGATTAAAAAAAAACAATAAAAATAATTAAATGATTCTCAGCTCATCGACGCTGCATTTATTTGATCGAAAATACAGTAAAACAGTTGTAAATATTAATTACAAAATAATTATTCAAATCATTTTAAGTAAAATAAAAATTAAAATAAATTTAATGTTTTAAAATGTAATTAAGCAAAAAAATATTCTTCAGTGAAAACCATTATAAGTGGTTATAAACCGTTCTAAATTGAAGAAAATTAATATCTTAAAAAACATTTTTAGTACTGTATTCACTCCCATATTATTCCAAACCAAATGCTGTTAATTTTCCTTGGAAATCAAATATTTTGCAGAACTGTGAAGCAGTTCTTGCCATAGAACAGTAGAGAATTACGTATTTCACTCATTTTATGATGCGTTTGCTCAACACCCTCTGGTCACTGTGAACTGCATGAAGCAGTGTTGTAGTACTCGAGACTCGGACTCGTCTCGGACTCGGTCTCGAGACCATATTTTAATGGTCTTGGTCTTGTCATGGACTCGTGTCCATTTGGACTCGGAATTGACTCGTACTCGAACATTTTTTTTTTTAGGACTCGGAATTATTCCAGAGTCCACTCGAGTTTAATTCAAACTATTTTTCATGATTATTAATGTATGTTAATAAAATATTTCTTTAAATTGATTGACACGCCCAGTGATTGGCGATTTTCTAGTGCGCAACTGCGCATGACAAATTGTAATAAAATTACTTTTAACACCACCTACTATGTGGCCTTTTTACCCTAAACTGATCATATTTTTTAAACTCTAAGTAAATTCAGTAAAAAAAAAAGGAAAAAGGATTTCTCTAAGTAAATAAAAGTAAATTAGGTAATCAACCCTCACTGGTCTCGGTCTCGACTCGGACTCGACTCGGACTCGACTCTCTATGGACTCGGTCTTGACTCGGACTCGACTCTCTGTGGTCTCGGTGTCGACTCGGACTCGAGTGAGGTGGTCTCGACTACAACACTGGCATGAAGGTCCTCTTTCTACAGAAAATGTCTACTTTCTACAGGAGAAAAAAATCAATTAATGCAACAACTTGAGTATAAGTAAATAGTGGCAGAACTCAACACAAGCACAAAACTGCAGCTATGGGTATGAGTGGGTGTTCAATTTTTCCAAACGTTAGCCTGTTCTTTCTTGTGCAATCATTGCATTGAGGCTACATCGGCAGCTGATGCCACACCAAGTGTTTGTTACTGCTTTCTGGTCACAGCTGTTTTGCCATGAAAGCGTGTCTTGTTTCTAGATCCTTTTTACAGTAAGACCCTTCTCATTTTCGTACTCTACTATATCATAATGTAAACTTTCAGTCGGGTCACTCACACAGCGACTATAGCACATTTGCTTCAACACAGAGTTTTGCTCGTGCTCAGTGATGGAGACACATGCCAAGAATCCTCGGAGTTGGAATGAGGAGATCTGCATGTAATCAGTCCGCTGGAATGTGCTCGGCTGTGGACAGAGAGACTTCAGAGATTGTGGGAGAAGTAGACAGTGGTCATCTTTGTGCCATGACAGCGAAATGTGGAACGCTTGTGTTTCCATTAATGTCAGTAAATGTGGTTCTATGCCATCTCTCAATGTGTATTTTTGTGTATACAGTATTCTACGATTCTGAGAGGTCTTTGTGTTTAGACCTTGTCCATGCCAGTGAGTTAACCAAATTTGTTGGTGCAGGATTTTTGCACATAGCAGCTTGTTGACTGAATGTCACAATTTATATAAAGTTTATTCTGAGCCTATCTTTCCCTGTTTTCCAGGTCATGGAGAATGCCACTGCGGTGAGTGTAAATGCCATGCTGGTTACATTGGAGACAACTGTAATTGCTCTACAGAGACGGCTTCCTGTCTGTCAGACGACGGGAAGATCTGTAGCGGGCGGGGCAGCTGTGTGTGTGGGCGGTGCCAGTGCGCTGAGCCAGGGGCATTTGGGGATACCTGCGAAAAATGTCCCACCTGTCCAGATGCCTGTGGAACAAAGAGGTATGTGAATGAGGATGCTCAATCGAGTATGTTCAGTTTCTAATGATTCTAATGTAATGCTGTCTTTAAAAGTTTGTCATTGTTTAAAAAAAAAAAATGTTTACTGCATAATGCAACCAATAGCATACGTCTTTCATCCTTCTGTTTCTTTAAATGGTCCTTTCTGTTTCGAAAATTTAATTTGCTACATACTAGTCGCATTCCAGTGAAGGGTTGCAGTACTTTGATAATATTTGCATTATCAAAAGCTTAGGGTCAGTTTTGATTTTTTTTAAATAGATTAATACTTTTATTCAGTGAGGATGTATTAAATTGGTCAAAGGTGACAAAGATATTTATGTTACAAAAGATTTCCAATTTAAATAACTTTTCATTAAAAGAATTCTAAAGAAATTTACCAGTTTCCACAAAAATAATATGAGATTTAAAAGAGATTTTTTTTTTTAGCATTGACTAAATTAAACGTTTCTTGATCACTAAATCTGGAATTTCACCTTTGCAATTAGAGTATCACATTACATTTTAAATATATTCAAATAGAAAACGGGTTTTCTATTTTTGTAATTGTAATATTATTTCACAATATTACTGTTTTACTGTATTTTCTGTACATTTTACAGACTCCAAACTTTCAAACGGCAGTGTATGTAACACCAAGATTTGCTAGGTTCTTTCAAACATGGGTATAAGCATGATGGTTCTTATATACATAAAAATGAATCTGTACTATTAACAAGTTACATTCAAAAGCACTTATCACCCACTTTGTCCTTCATAAATCATAATTTCTTACTCCATTGTTGAGTTGCTGAGCTAGAGACTAGAAAAAAAATTATAAACATATTTATAACACAGAACAGTGTGTTTTAATGTGTTTTTTTTACCTCTGTGGCATTGGAGGCATGCCACATCAGATGTTATTCAAACTGCATACAATAACACATGCATGTTCTCTATTATATTGATCAAAGCTGACTGACAGGGTCTGAGATGTCTTTCCTTCATCATTGACTTGTTTAGACTCAATCCTGTCAAACTTTTTTTAGTATTGTGTTAGTTATAGTTTGAATGATCTTTCTAAATGTTTCATCTCAGGGAATGCATCGAGTGTCATCTTTTTAACACGGGGAGACTGGCCGACAACCAGACCTGTCAGCGCATGTGCAAGGATGAGATCATGACCGTCGAAACCCTTAGTGAGTGCACACTCAAACACTTGACATTGAATGAAGTTTGAGGGTTCAGCTAGTGTTTTGGGGCATCTTCTCTATCACTGTATCTCTCCACCCTGCACAGACACATGTTTTCCTCTGAGAAAAACTTCTTTCTTTCTTTCATTCTTTCTTTCTTGCTCCACTCATCCATGCAATACTAAACTTTACCCAGTTATCAAAACATGTTATTTAAAGCGTGTGCATGTGAGGAAGGAATTTTAATGTTTGTCATCTTCATATCCCTGGTATGATAAAGCAAGCAGGTAAGTGAAGAAAATTTCTTAGCAGGATTTCACAAACCACAATCTTTTTTGTTATACTGATTGTACCTCTTCACATCCTTATAGCGATTAACATCCTGATAGCAATCAATAATAAAAGTGGACTAAATATTAAAATATGTACATATGTCTTCTGTGGAATTCTCCGAACCAAAATTCAATCATTGCATTCAGTCGAACGCTGTGAAGGGAGGGTGGAATCTCATGCTTTCAAAGCTAACTTAACTTGCTATTGCTAGCCTCTCCACAGTTGCCTACCTCACTTCCAGTGGTTCAAAATGGCATCTTATTCAAAGATGAAACCCTTTTGAGCATAAGGGTTCATTTACTTTTACTGTGAAACAAAAACATGACAACTGATAGCTTATGTTATGTTGGTTTCTTTTATTATTTATTTTTTAGTGTTTACCATTTTTTTATGTGGGATCCAGCCAATGACATCAACACACTGGTTACTTAGCTTACATTTTCCTTAACTTCAATCAGAGAGAGAACTTGAATCCAGCTGAAATCATGAAGGAGCTCAGTTCATAGATCCGATGTTTTCCCTCTCATCGGGACACACTGTTGGTCGAGCGCCACAGTTTGTGCTTCCAGGTCATGAATGTGTTACTCGCAGCAGGGTGAAGCACGGTTTGTGGTGCATCATGGCAAGCTCTGTTTATGTTATTATCTGGAGAATGTGAGTCTGGACGTCTCTGCAACACTCACTGTTCTGTGTCCCACTGAGAAAGCCAGTGTTTACTGCTCTTCCCCTGCAACCGTGCCATTAATTCAAACCACTAATATGTAAAATGCAAAAAAACTACTAAAGAATAGCACTTTGGAAAATGAATAAAATGTGAAGCTTTGTAATATGAGGATCTTATTATTTAATTTCGATTTTTATGATGTTTTTTTTTTTTTTTTTATTTATTTATAATTATGAATGTTTTATAAGAGTTCCAAAACTATTAATCGAGTTTATGAGAATTTCTCCAGGGCTTTTATTATAGGTTTTATTGCAGGAGGCATTTTTACATGGTTTGAGGAATGCATCAATGCATCAATGAATGTTTATTGTTGGGCAATGTGATGCTGGACTCGTTCTCTGAGATATTGCAGTGAAACATTCAGGATGCTTGTGAACTCTTTAAGGCCTTTCCATTATAGATTTGATGTTTCACAACATTTCTCTGTCCTTTGAGTCAGCTGACTGACTTAATGAACTCCACATGTGCATACCGGAAACTTCCAGCTCTTTTAGAGAAAGAGGCTCCATAGTTAAATGACTAAGGAAGGGGGAAGGGTTTTTTTTATTTTTTTTTTGTCTTGGATAATTATGATAACATTTTAAACATTTAATCTGGGTCTTTGTTGAGGAATGCAAGATCTGGTCCAAAAATAATTTCAGCATGTCAAGATTATGCTATTGTCTCCATGTACTACTTTATCGGTTTGTTTCCTCAGGCACAGTTTGGACCGCTGTTTTATTGAACCCAACTCCTTTCTCTATTTCAGAAACAGATGTTCCCAACACCGTTCAATGCGTCTATAAGACCGAGAATGACTGTGTGATGAAGTTCACTTATTCCGAACATGCCAACGGCCAATCGGTCCTCACCGCTCTTAAAGAGCCAGGTCAGTATTTAGCACTACCTCTGTAATAAACTGCTTTCTGAATCATGTTAAACACTCATCTTGAGGAAATATAAGAGAAGAATTTGATCAAAATAATATTTTGTTGTTGTTGTTGCTATTTCTGATCCAAACACTGTTTTTAATGAGAAGGGTTTCAGCTAAACTTCACGTCATACATTATGGCCAAGCATTTGTGTGTTTACAGAATGTGCCGTTGCCCCAAATGCCATGACTGTGCTTCTGGCAGTTGTTGGCAGTATCTTGTTGATGGGCATCGTGCTGCTAGCCCTCTGGAAACTAGCCATTACCATCCACGACCGCCGCGAGTTTGCACGCTTTCAAAATGCACGTTCAAGGGCCCGTTATGAGATGGTGAGAACTCAATCTACTGCACTAAGTTTGATGGAAATGATATATATATATATATAATTTATTTTTATTATTGTTTATTTATTTTTATTTATTATTTATTTATTGTTTATCTTTTATTATTTATTATCATTGTTTATTTATTTTACTATTTATTTATTTATTTATTTATTTATTATTTAAATGGTAGTGTTGCTGTTTGCACTGTTTGTAAGTTACCTTAATTGTTAATAGCTTGAACAGGCAAATCCATGCAATCACACAGACAACTAGGCTTTGGTTGAAACCATGAGGCCTTTTGGAAAACATCAGTCAGCTGGGAATGCAGATCAGTCGTAATGATAATTCCAAGGCTGTGGTTCAAAGGCTCTGGTCGCTCTGCCCCTCTAACCGTGTGCATTTCAATGAACCCATCTGACCTATTTACTCTTCTGTATGTCTCTCCTTGTCTTCCTCCTAGGCATCTAATCCGGTTTATAAACAGTCCATCCCATCTCACCCAATGGAGACAGTTTTCCATATGCACAGTTCCAAGTCATGCAACGGAGGAGTCCACTGATCAACCTGCATTTGGACTGGGGGACATGGCAGGACCTGTCCAGCACGCCTCTGCTCTACAGTGGAGGACAGAGACAACAAATTGAATGGTCTTTTGCAATGCAAACTTTTTTTTTTTTTGAGAATTAGAACTGATCTTTATGCGGTTGGATAATGAACGTTCATTGGTGAGCAGCAGTTGGACACATGCTGAATATGAGAAGAGGATTGGCTTGTCTAATTCTCCGGAAACCTTCATGAGCAATGGACGTTGACCTGCCATGGGCCGCTTTGAATATAACTCCTAATTTTCTCTAGTTCTAACCACACCTCCTGCTCTTTATGATGAATTTGCTGTGCAATGTTTTATAGGCAAAGAGACATTTTTTTTCCCAAGTGTATATATTTAACAGTGTGCCTTTCCCAGCCGTTACATATTTTTACATGAATTAAATTTATTTAGCACCGTAGAGTGTGCATAGAACGCAACAAAAGGCTAAATTACACATCAACTCTTTAATGAAGAAATGGGTACTAACATAACCAGAGCAATAATTCTCTTAACTTGTTTTGCACATTGTATATTAGGTTAAGGTTTTATCAAGTAAAGAAAGTAATGCCACTCTACAATACTATAATTTGGTGTATTGCCACAGGTTGCACATTTTCATAGTGATTTTCAACTGTACATTGTGATGCAATAACACTGCCTGCTGATAATTCAAGAGTGTTTTGTTTCTTTTTGGAACGATTACATTTAGTAGCTCAGCACTCACCCCATCAGGACCTGGACCAAGTATAAAATTAGACACTGTACACCTATTTGCCAGTAAGAACTTATTAGATTGACCCCATATCAATAGTCATGTTTGTGTCTACTTAATAAAGGCACAAAAAGGGCATTATTAGGGGTGGTTTTTGTGCTCAGTGCAATGGAAAAAAACAAGGTCTAAGTTTAACTTCTTTTAACATTGAGCACCTCATTTAGAATGCTGTCACACATATATCTGTGCACATCAATATTTCTTAATTCATGTGCCATCTTAATCTTTAATCAAAATAATATTGATATTTAATACAATATAATGACATCTCTTCTGTTCTCTGATGATGTGTTTACTGGTGCAAGGGCAGGACAACCTGTCACTTACATGACATCACAGCAATTGTAAACAACTATCCATCCAGTCAATTCCCCATGGAAATTATGAAGTCCCGCACTACATGTTCTCTTATTCGAGAAGCCGTTTCGCTTGGATATATGCCAGTATAGCAGGGAAGAAAAAATGATCGCAAATTAAACTAAAAAATGCGCTGTAAGAAATTATTGTCTGTTCAGACTCAGATTCCACTCCAAGAAAGGTGGTTATTTTGTTCATTCCCCAAAATGGCTTAATTATTATTAACTACGGTGCAATAAACAACTTCATCAAGATCCTTATCATTTTTTTTTCTTAAACATTTACATGCAAAAGGTAGTTTAATTTCAGCCAGACGAAAGCATTAATTTGTCTTTTTAAACTGTCATGCAAATAGTTAGTTCTGATGAAATTGGTATTTTTATTGAGGTTCTTCCCCAATGGTCAGTCTTGCAGACCTAGGTGTTGCAATGTATAAATCGGCTTTATTAAATTAGGCCTACACCTTGCATCGTGTAAAATTGGACGGACAGCTAAAGGCTGTAGCTCAACTATGCAAAAACTAGTACTTTCAAACATACTTTTTTTTTCTTTTTTTTTGCTTAATGCTAAAAAAAACATGTCGACTCAGGGAATGACACACGCACCCTTCTCTAAGCTGATGGGAAAATCTGACTTAACAAGGTGCTTAAACAAGGTGCTCCTGGCCTGGACTGGGTGAGGTGCAATTGGGTGGATGTTTAGTACATTTTATTTATCATATTCTCCTTTGACTTTTGGTAGGTCAGATCAAATGGGCAGCTTGTTTTGTGCTTTACATGTGTGTATGTGGTACAGAAGTTTTTTATTTTATTTATTTTTTTTACCTGCAGCGAAGAAGATTGAGAGTATAAATCAGCCATTGTGCGTGCGTGGTGACGTGTCTCAGGACAGGACTCATATTCAGTGAGAGCAGCTGTGTTTGCAATGGGGAAAGTGCACACGCCTTATGAACCTAGTAGAAAACCACTTTCAGTGTTGATTTACTGTGAAACCACATGAGACTGTCTCTAGGAAATTTTAAAGAGTATTTTCTGGTGGCTCGTCTACTACTATCAATCCAATCAAAGGTATGGTGAAGGGTCTTACATTTAAAATGTCTCTCTGCGTTTAGAAGTTGTATTTGCTGTAAAAGTCTGCGCGATAAATTTAAATCTTTCCCCAAATCAAAATCTTCCCCCATTTCCATGTTCTCTTGCCACACAACCATGGCTGACATTTTGAGCTGAGACTTGGGGTTGCAGAAGTACACATGTGTATGGAGCTCGATGTCAACCCTGTCTGTGGTTTGCACATAAATGACATGTTCTCAGAGTTTGATGATGAGCTGAATGCTGTTTTTCTCCCAAGCAGAAGCACTGAGCCAGTATCAACAGCCAGAGCATTCAGACAGAAGTGAAGTCATGTCACCGGAAGAGGACGCAGCTCTGAACACAAGAAGGGAAAGTAGGGTTGTGTGTGTTTCGGTAATGTCTGAGACTTTAGGTTTAGGAGCTGAACAGCAACAGATGTGACTGTGAAGGCGTGTTCTTCTGCCCCCTTGTGAAGTCTCTCTCGTTTTCCTTTCATTTATTTATAATTTAGTTAAAGTAAAAAGGTGGTCTTAAGAATTTGAAAAATTTTATGCAAAGAAAAAAAAAACAAAAACAAAAAGATTGTAAACTATGTAGGTCACTAATTATATTGGTGATTGTGACCATTGTTCATGTTATTTTGAAGAGAAGTTCTTCCATTTTCATTTTTTTTCTGATTTAGTTTTTTAGGATTCTTTGATTGATAGCTAATTCAAAATTTCAAAGGTTTTACTGTCATTTTTGATCAAATTAATACATCCTTAATAAAAAATAAAAAAATAATAATAATAAAAACATGACAGTATAAATCTGCCCTACAAAGCAAAAAGGCAGTAACTGCAGTTTTGGTAAAGCATTAATTATTACAATTTTCATGACATTCAAGGCATCCTTTGTTATGCGACAAAACATCTTATCTTAAATGCGTGTCGTTTTAGAGAAAAATGGTAGTCGTTTGTACAGTAACTGCAAAAAGCCCTAGCAAAAGTCATTTTTCTCAGTTCTGCACTCTGCGTAGTTACTGCCTTTTTGCTTTGTAGGGCAGAAATGGAAGCATCATGCAGTTATCAACCTATATTGATGTGTCAAGTGTGTCTTTCATTTCTTTAATTTCCAGGGAGATGTGATAACAGCAAACATTCATCTTTACCGGAATGCAAGGTATGTCCTGCAGCACTGAGGTCTGATACTCATCTAATGAGGCTGTGTCTTTGACTCACTAAATGTCTGCGTTCAGTGAAGGAATTTACATCCACTCTGTTTGATTCAGAGGGAAGTTGGTGTTAGCCATAAGCTCATATTCAGCACTGGTGATCAATCATTTGTGATGAAAATGATTTTTGTAAACTGAGCCCTACTCGCCTTGTGCAGATTCTTAGGCAGCATGGGAGTTTACAGGATTCATTAGTATGTTTATCTATAAATAATCATGTGGTTATTTCAGAGACTTGTCTTTATGCCTGAGTGTTTGATCTTTGTCAGTAACATTCACAGGTCCAAATCTCAATTCTTCTTCAATGAAATCAATAAATCAACCCTTTGTACGCCAGTATTCCATTGCCATAAGCAGAACCCAGTCAATGATCTTTAATGCGATCAAAAAGTTCTGTGTTACTGGTATATTTCTATATACTGTATATGTCTTGCTCACATTATCTGCTGTAACATTAAATGATCACACAAATACCAATATCAGTCCAGATTTATTTGATGTAGATTTCAAAAATGAATAAGATCGTCTGAAAATAAAATGTTTTTTAATCATAGAGCCTAGAGAATACTTTCATTTTTTCGACATAATTACTTGCAGTGACTAATGACACTACAGTTATGTAACATAATTGGAAAAAAATAACAGTAATAAAAAAAAATACTATTTTACAGAATATGTTCTTAAGGAATAAGGATCTTTTGTGGAAAGAAATTTAGAATAATTGTGCTGCTCTGTCCTAAAGCACCATCTACTGGATGAAGTGTCATAGTGCATGTCCATAGGCATCAACTTTAATTCTGCTCTTATTAGTGTACAAATATGTCCTCTTCTTTTAGGGGTCACTCTTGGATTCTTCTTGGTCAAAAGTGACCAAACCCTTAAAATTTTAAAAAAATTTTGTAATAGATTTTTGTTCAATATTGTTTTATTATTGTTATTAGAATTTTTAAATTCTTTTAGAATTTTCAAAGGTTTCTATGCAATAATTATAAAAATTTTATCAGCTATTTTTTCCATTAGAATTAATATATATATATATATATATATATATATATATATATATATGAAGAGTTCAGATGCAAAAGCCTCTAAATGCCATTTGAAAGTTTCTTCTAAAATGACCATTTTTATCAAGCTTGCATATTTAAGTTCAGTAATTTCACTTAAATGACAATTAATAGGTAATCTTCATTGCCATTTAAGTGAAATTACTGAACTTATACAAGCTTGATAAAAATGATCATTTTAGAAGAAAATTTCAAATGGCACTTAGAGGCTTTTGCATCTGAACTCTTCATATATATATATATATATATATTGTTCAATAAATGCAGCATTTCACATTAAAATAGAGTGCAGGCCTTTAAAAAAAATGAAGTGAGAAAAGTGCCATCCAGTGTCGTTAAAAAAATATGTATAATGTCGTGTAACCGCCTGGCCATACTATTATTACTATAATAGCTCCCTATATAAATACATAGAGAGGCATTTTGATTACCATTGATTAGATTTTTTTAAAAGACATTATTTCTCAATTTATTTATTTTTTATTATTTAGATATATATTTAGACACTATAAAAATTACTTTTTGATATTTTGTATATAGTTTTGTTAGATTAGTATCAGGTTTTGCATTATGATTACAATTAAACAATAACATTGGTTAGAAAGGGAACACAAGGCATGCATTGCATTACTCAGTATTTAATGATAATAAAAAAATCTAATAAAATAAGGATGAATAGTGATGATTTTTTACACTTTATACAGACATTTTGCAACTAATTGGTATTTTATTCAGTTTAATTATATAAAAGGTAATAAAACTTTAGAAGGGAACAGTAATTAAGATCTTACAGCACAACTTCTTTGGCAGTTTTCATGTCTTTCGGGGTGTGTAGGCCTTTCACAGACTCACAGATTTTGAAATGGCCTGTATTAAACCACAAAATGAGCTGGCACATGATGTTTTTTTAATGTTCACAGCTAATACAACAAAAGTCACCAAGTATCAAAAAATCAATAATTCAAAACGTAAAAGTTTTTGGTCATTTTTGACCGAAGAGGACCAGAGGGTTAAGAGTCGCCTATATTCCACTCATGTGCTATTATTCTAACTCATATCTTCGGAAGACATAGGCTACGTTAGCTATGAGTTTGGGACATTAATGATGACAGATTGTAAGTGAACTATTCGGAGCGAGACATAAGTGACTCATTAATTTGGAGTGTGTGAGGGAGAATGTGGGCTTGGGTGTATTAGTTGGTGCGTCTTTGTGGTTTCTACCATGGTTTAGACTTGAGCAGGATGTTGTGTCATGGAATTAGATGTCATTCTATGAAATTCTGTTTCTCTCTTCCAGAAAGGTTGAGACAATGTGACCTGGAAACCAAGATCAGCTTTGACATAAATTTATTTAGTAGTATGCCATTTCTGTAAAGTTCACTAAATGAGCAGATTCAAGTCATGTCCAACTGATCTTTTTTTCTGTGCCACAGTATATCTTTTTTTTTCTTTCTACCTATCCACTTTTAATAAAGAATTACAACCTCATATAAAGGCCAGCACGGTAAACTGTTAATCTGGAAGCAATTAAGTATGACAAGTCAAGCTGTATATTGTGTTTGATGAAATTATCTAATGGAGTGATCTAATAATTTCTTCACTAGCCTCATAATAAAGTATGGCATACAAGACTAAATCAATATCATAAATTGTTTTTATCCCATCATTGAAACAGATAGGCTAAATGTCTGTTCAGCCGTTAAAAGTTACCGGCTGAACTTTTCTTTGACTTTCATGTGTTTCGGGTGTAGGCCTTTCACAGACTCACAGATTTTGAAATGGCCTGTATTAAACCACAAAATGAGCTGGACAGTGTTATAGTAGGCTATGGCATGAAGTCACGAAAGGGGAAATGGAAATAACCGTTTGCAATTCATGTAGTAGGCAGGACTGTGAAACAACACTTCTTAAATTGAAGTCGGAGTACAACAGACGGGTGTTATTTTGATGAAATCTGCAAGCAATTAGCCTACTCCTGACTGTCTATGTTGGAAAAAATAAATTCCATTTAAAAATGGTTAAATAGTTTTACACAACAAGAAAAAAAAAAAGAGAAAACAAATTATCCGAAGGCCAGTCTGTTTCTGCTGTTTAAGTTTATTCAGAGTTTTATCTCAGTGATGAAATCAATGATGTAATTTTACATTTAGGCCTAACATAATAAATAAATAAATATAACAATTAAAATAATATATATATTATATATATACTAAATATATACAGTATATATATATATATATATATTAGGGCTGTGCAAAAATTAATTGCGATTAATCGCATCCAAAATAAAAGTAAAAATAAAAGTCTGTGCATAATATATTTGTGTGTGCTGTATATAATTATTTTGTATATATAAATACACATACAGGCATGTATATATTTAAGAAAATGTGTTATTCATATATAAAATATTTATATTTATATAATATAGATTATGTATTTATATATACAGAATTTAAACGCAAATAATTCTTAAATATATACATGCATGCATAGGTATTTATATATACAAAATAATTATACAGCACACACAATTATGTAAACATAGACTTTTATTTTGGATGCGATTAATCACAATTAATTTTTGCACAGCCCTAATATATATATATATATATATATATATATATAGTTATTTTGACCTTTTTATAGATTTTGTAATGTTTTAAGCATTAAAATATACAAACAAAAGAAAATTAGTTAATTTCAAGTTTATATGATATTCTACAAACAAAGAAAACACTTTTACATCTTTTGAAAAGACTGGAGACGAGGTGTCTATCTTCTTGTATAGATTAAAAAAATATGAGTGGTCTTAATCTAAAATCTGATATCTGTTACAATGTTTCAATTAAAGTGTAGCAGTGATTTCATCAACAGGCTGCTTCACGCTCTTGTCATTACACAAGCTAAGTTAATGGACTATTCTTAGTGGACACAAACCAATTCAAGACCATTCAATAGTACCTATAGCGCCTTCTAGCAGGGCATATGCTCTGCTCTGGGGGCTTCCCCAATCCAGCCCTCCACAATCGTCATCATTTACTGAAATCACACGTCAGACCACACCTAACGGAGTCGAGTAGGCAGGAAAACCATTTAAACTCACAACACAACATGATGTGTTTCACACAGTGCATTGGGTGACCGCTGCACTAACATCTGTATGATCCGCTGCGGAGTGAGAGAAATGCGCGTGTTAACGGTACTCGCCGTTATATGTGTCCTGAAGGAGACTGAAGCTTGGGGTTACAAGAATGGGATACTGCACAACTCTATCTGGCTGGGTATTTATTTCACTTGTTCTTACTTTTTGATCCAAACTGTGTTATAGAATCGCTGGACATGACTTGTCAATATTTTAAAAGTGCGGTTTCTTAACTTTTCCCCTCATAATGATTTTAAAAAGCAAAATCTTTAATTTACCTACTGTTCAACAGGGTTTAGGCTATATGTTGTACAATACTGCATGTGTGCATTTCGCTTTAGAACCTAATGAAAGGCTTATTTCTGTGAAGGCTGATAGCAGCCAGTCTGAAGGACCTTTTAAACACAGGGGAAATGACTTCATTCTGTTACACAGGCTAACGTTACTGCAACTTACCCCAGGGCACCTCAAAACACTTTCATCAGGATCCAAGAAACTCACTGGCAGTGAGTTTCTTGGATCCTGATGACATTTCTTTGTAGATTAGAGTTGTTTGTTAAGACATAGGACAGAAGAACAATCTGAATTTGATAACTAGGATTTCCCTCTTTTCCTGTGTAGAACCAACAATTACCAATGTTTTAGTTGTAGCTACCTGTGATTTGAGTTAAATTGATAGCCTAAGTTGTGTGGATTATAGTGGATAAATAGAATAGCCTATGACTGGAACCACACACACACAAAAGATTTTGTAGATTTGAATTTATAGAAGTAACTTTTCATGAATTAACTTTAGTTGGTATATAGTAATAACATTAGAAACGAAATGCTATTAGCCTTCTTGCTTTGCTTCATTAAAGTAACTCCTGAAACGTAGGGAAGTTTGGATAGTGGTTACCTTAGATGAACCCCACTTCTGCTCTTTAAGTCAGGTAAATGCATACGCACTGATCTATAGGCCAATAGACCTTTACTGCCAGAGAAACAAGCACACAGCCATCTTTAGAATTTTGTTCATCTAAAAACTTCTGAGGTAGCTCTGTATGTTTCTATGGCATCGCTGCTGAAGAGTAATAGCTGGTGAAGTGGATTAACCAAAGTTGCATTGTGTTTAAAGCGGATAACAAATGTCAGTAGACATTTCATAAAGTGGGTCATTCATAAATACCTTCATGCTATGGAAATACAAACCAGAAGACAAAACCCAATGGGTGCATCGCTGAAAAGGGGTGGGGCTACATAACTTCTATAGATCTATTACAGACCAATTTGAAATCAATGTCACGGTTATGTCATTTGCTGCTGTGGTGGCAGAAAAAAACAGTTGAGTTTCAAAAGTGGAGGAAAATGGGCCAAATCCACGTAAGAGAAAAATGCCTTTGGATTTCAGAATCGGAATGCAAAAAGAGATATCTTCATAGAATACCGTTATCGAAGATGCTCTGTGATGCTAAATGCAGACATTTATAGTTGCAAGCCACTGAACTGTTGAAACATGATGATTAGATTACCATTAAAGCATGGATTTGATGTAAACAGATCTGCATCATATTCTCTTATGCAGTTTATAAGGGCATAAATAAATGTTAATTGTGGTGGCAAAGTGGCTTGACAGCTACAACACATCTGAAAACACTTACGGCTAAACAAGCTACAGTAGGCCTATATAAATTCATTCTTCAAATGAGTCTCCCATTTTGGGCTTTTCTCAGAGACATGTTTGGAGCTCACTAATGGTTGAAGTCTTCTAAAACCTGGATGTTTGAGGCCAGCACAGTAAAATCACTGGCTTATAACTCATTTGAGACAGGATACAACTTCCTCCAAACTATGCATGCATGCTTAAAAACAACTGCAAAACAGCATGATGTTCTGTATCTGAGGTAAAAAGAGAGGCTAAGATTGACCTCATCTGGTTTAGTAATCTTAGCAACAGAAACTGGATGTACATCATATTTGTCCCTTATGTATTCAGGATGTTCTGCACCGTAAAATATATATGTTGGGTAAAACCTTCTAATATAAGTTCCTTGTTTTAGTTCTGATGTAATTTGAGTAGACAGGCATAATCATTGTTCTGAGATGCTGAACAGACCCAGATAACTTCACAGGAGTCCTCGAAGCTGAAAGTGTTGCCAAATGAGATCTATCCTCTCTCTCCTTATAGAGCAAGCAGCTGGAGTTTACCACCGCGAATCTCGCAAAGGAAGATATCAGCTGACGTATAAGGAAGCCAAGGCTGTGTGCAGTTTTGAGGGGGGAGATCTTGCTACGTATGATCAACTGGAGGCTGCTCGACAAATTGGTTTGTATCACACTTACAAATCTCACTTGGATCAGATGTCAAAATAAACAGCTAAAGAGGGCCTGGTCCATGGCATAAGTTTTGAAAGCTGAGCAAGTCCTGTAACTTGGATCACATTGATTAGGTTTTATTGTATAATAGTACATATTCAGAAACTATTTTGAATCTGTCAGCAAGCAGAATGATAATCAACATTCTCACAGTTAGATGTATTAAATATTTGCACACATCATATAAACAAAGCAAAGATCATTCTCCAGTGCCACCCAGTGTTTTGTTTAACTGTAAAAGTCTTTGTCATGTGTTGCCTGAGCAGTAACACCTGTTTTCTTGTAAGATGATTCCTTTTTCTTTGCAGTAAGAGTAAATTTTATCCAGACTTGAGCTCTGATCAGTAATGAGAACATTTCATGGTTAGTGTAGGCCTATGGCACTCTATGCAGGAGTTCTGCTTTGCTTCTTTGCATCTCTGTTTCCAGCCTTCAAATTGTGCCTATGGCTCCTCGGAACACAAGAGCCCTTTATTCTTCATACCCTTGAAAAAGACGAATTTCCTTCAATTATTAGCTTTGTCATAGAGAACATTTTATATTCAGTCTCTACAGAATGTGTTTGTGAAATACTGCAAATGCAATAATATGAACATTGAGAAAAATAAATAATGGAAATTTACATTACATAGATTTTTATGTATTATTTTTAAACATTATTAATCATTGTTAATATTCATTGTCAATATTGAATTCGTCAAGCCAACTTAATGATTAATTAAGTTGGCTTGACGGCAAAAGGCAAGACGGCTCGCGTGTTCAGATGTTTCATGTCCGAAGTTGATTGGCTCGAACGGGGCACCTTTTATGGCTTCCAAAACCGTGGAAAGGTCCCACATAGGGACTGAGGAGGGTCTGGGAGGATTCAGCCTCTTAGCTCCTTTAAGGGAATGGATGAACAGATCGTTCTTCCCCAGTGACTGGCCATTTGCGGGTTTTGTAAACGCTGCTATGGCCGACACGTAAACTTTGAGCAGGGATGGGGTTTTGCCCTTATCCAGTAGCTCTTGAAGGAAGGTCAGAACTTACGTAACCCCACAGAACTATGGGTAAAAAGGCTCTGGCTTTGCACCAGCCAGAAAACACAGACCAGGAATTTAACACTCCCTCCGGGATGTTTGCGGGTACCCGTTGATGCCTCATGCGTGCAAGGACGGACCACATCTCCGGGTGAGGATGCCAAATCGAGCCCTTGGCCTGAGGGCTCCCTTCGCTCCTCCAGCACCCAGGCGGTCGGCAGCGAGTTAACCGTCCCATCGGCAACTCATTCCAGCGCACCGCCAAGAGCGTCCATGATGACGGACTCTCCCCACCATGCTCAATGGCACTGTGGATTCCCCACAGCGGGGATGACTCTCTGACAGCACGTTTCTCCTTCTTCCTGGGTTTCGGCACCAATGTAACAAGGTTCATTGTTGTGGGATTCAACACTTTAATAATAAAATAAACAAATACAAAACTTAAAGTAAAAGCCAGCAGCCCCTCACAGACAACTGCTGACACACACACACCAAGACACAACATAGGTTCAGGCCTGTTCCTCTCTCGATCTGCACTGTTGTTGCTACTCCTTTATGCTTCCACTTGTCCGTGAGAGATGCAAGAAGGTGCGTCTCACAGGTGTCGCTCATTACCGCTCACTTTTTTTAGCCAACTTAAAGTTTGTCTACTAACTTTACTATCTAGTTATTAGTTGAATAGCTAATTAATTAGGGGCCAAGCACCGAAGGTGCGGAGGCACCTATTGTATCTGTGCCGGTTCTTATTATTATTATTATTATTATTATTATTCTTCTTCCGACTGGGCGTCTATGACAGCCCATAGACCGGTTTGCGGGAAAGTTGTTTTGGTTTGACATTCTGATAGAGGACAGTCCCAACTTTAAATACACCAATTTTGGTGTCTCTAACTCATTCCCTCTAGCGCCACCAACTGTCCAAAGTTGCACTTTTATTATGCTAATAACTTTTGAACCGTAAGGCCTATCAACAAAACTCTTTTTTCTTCTTGTTCCTGAGCTCATGCCGATTCGATCGCACCCTATGACGTCATTTTCCGTCATAAAAAAATGGCCGCCATTTTGAATTTTCCAAAAAACCTACTTTTGCGAACTCGTCCTAGACGGTTTGTCCGATTTTCACCAAAATCGCACCGGATCATCTCCAGGCAGTGCTGACAAAAAGTTATGGAATTCAAGATGATTCGAAGAACCGTTTTCGATAAACGCGCAAACTAATTTTACGTAGCGCTTGCAAAAACAGACGTGAGGCTGTATCTCGGCAACGCTTAATCCTATTCAGACCAAACTTGGTACATGTTATCACAAGCATGACCTGAGGCTACATGCAGCGTTTCGGCGCAGCGCCACCTAGTGGTCCGGAGATATGAAAAATGGCTATTTTTGCTCGTAACTTCTGAACGGTTTGTCCAAAAATCAAAAACTTCATCTCGTTAGATTCAGGCATCATGCCGAGTCGAGTGATATGCAATTTTCCCAGCTCGGCCATTTTGGCTGTCGGCCATTTTGAATTATGTGCTAAATGCTGTATTTTTTGAACGCATAAACGAATTGTTACGAAACTCGGTATGGGTCATCAGTACGATGCCCTGAAGGAGCCTGAGAAGTTTCGAAAACAGCGCCACCTAGTGGTGAATTTTTTTTTTCAAACGCTTATAGCTTTGGGTGTGGTACACTTATTTTCACGGGAGTCATCTTTTTGAGTTCCTGAATCGTTGCCGAGTCCAACGATACTAAACATGCTGGGTTTCGTGTTACGGTTGGTGTAGCGTAGCGATTTAGCGCGAAAAAAACACTTGGCGATATCTTCAAAACCGCTGTTCCGATCGAGACGAAACCACCGCCAGAAACACGGAATCATAGCTTGTTAACTAAATGCTAATGCCCAAATGCGAAAATATTGATAGTAAGGGGTAGTAAAATTCAAACAAAGTCATGTGTCAGTCATTTTTTACGTTTTTTCATATAAATGTTTATAACTCGGAAGTGAATTGAGATATTTGCACCAAAATTGACACACATATGTATGGGGTCACTCTGAGGACACATAAAAAAAATTGTGGGACTGAGCCTCTTGGTGGCGCTATAATAGAACAAAACGTGAAATTCCCATTGACTTCAATAGAGTTTTGTGAAATAAAATGCTATACTAAACAAATGCATTGGTGTAATATTACAAAACTCAGTGTGTGCCATAAGCAGCATGCCCTGAAGGTACTCAAAAGATTTTGAGACAGCGCCACCTGTTGGTCAAAAGTTATAATTAATTTCTGAGAACGCTAATAACTTTTGAATAAATTTGCCTATTGCAATGAAACTTATCTTAATAGATTCCTTGGGTTATGCTGAAAACATAGATATCAGGTTTTGCATAATCAGCCAAACTTCCTGTCCGCCATCTTTATTTCTTTGAAAAACCTTCTTTTTCGAACTCCTCCTAGACCGTTTGTCCGATTTTCACGAAAATTGAATCGTATCATCTCCAGACCGTGCCGACTAAAAGTTATGAATTGCACGATGATAGACAAAACCGTTTTCGTATACCACAGCATCGAAATTTAGGCATGCTGCCAAAATTACTATTTAGGCTTTATCTCTGCATGCCTTCACATTTTGACACCAAACTTTGCATGTGTCATTGTCACCTCACTCTGACCACATCACATCTATTTCGTAACTGCGCCACCTATTGTTCGAAAGTGATAATCCATTAAATCATCTTATAAGTTAATGTTTATGTGATTTTCTTAGCCATTTGCCCAAAGTTCTCTCAAAATGCCCTTAATTGCTCCTTGCTGCAGTTGGTCTGCCACTCCTTGCCATTTTGGCATATTTTGCCGCTTCTTGCGCTTGGCCCCGGTAATGGCTGCTTGCAGCTATATTTGAATTTGAGATCATTTTGATATTGTCTTTCTCCCAAAGGGTTCCATGTGTGTGCAGCTGGATGGTTTGACAAAGGACGTGTGGGCTATCCGATTGTTAAAGCTGGTGTCAACTGTGGTTTCGGGAAGGTCGGAATCATTGATTACGGATACCGGCTAAACAAAAGTGAAAAGTGGGATGTCTACTGCTATAACCCTGAGGGTGAGTTTGAGAGGTGGCATTTAGGGAAATCTGGGTGGATTAAGTCATACAAAGAGAGATTTGGAAAAATACAAACATTGTATGATGCAAGCCAGTCCAGCAGTTAGGGATGTCATTTCATAAAGAAACACTCTGTCCCCGATAGACTGAATGGGGAATACGCATGCGCAGGACATCACCGTTTTCTCGAATTTCGAATTTGCGTTTTTGTAGTTTACATGGAGACGATAATGGTGTTGTGTAAACTACCCTTAAAAGACGTAAATTAAATTTGTCTATATTCAAAAAGAAAGATATAGGGGCTGTTTACATTCAACAAAAAATGGCCATCCATTTAGGCCTGAAAATGCAAATGAGTTTCAAAGTGCAAGTTTTCGAAAACTATACAATTACTGTCTTTTTTACAGCATTTTTAATTGTTTTCATGGATCTATGTGAACGGGGATCGTTTTGACAACGTTGTCGTCTGTATGCTAAAAACGCAAAGAAAAACTTTTCCAGTACATTATTGTTTTGTAAACGTAACCATAGATTGTACTGAAAGCCAGCTTTTCTTTTTTTTTTTTTGTCCAAGATAAGGATTTAAGTCCACTTGCTATATAAACGGATAACTAGCTGTCATACCAACTTTGTGATGCAGTTTGCAAATGTTCATTGAAACTATGGTTTTGAGAAATAGAAATGATTAAGAAATGATAACTATGGAACTTTCGACCATACTTGGCTATGGTTTGGGAATGATTTTGGGAAACACCCTTAACTTGGACTAAAATGTAGTCATTAGTGTGATAGTAAGGTATAAATCTCCATAGGTTTAAGACCCTTTCTTTATATCATTTTTTCAGACTTTCATTGGTCTCTAAACTATAAGGGTGGGGAAAAATTATGGTCTAGACAAAGACAACCATGACTAAACATTGAGGGGAAAAGGCGATGGCTGTTTTATGGCACACGGCTACAGATGGACAGAAAATTGCAGCACAGGACATTATTCATATAAGTTACATTTATTGTAAAAAGCTTGCTTGTTTTCTCTGGCTGTGTTTTCTTGTGTGAATATGTAAAATGTCTCTTACTGTGAGTAATCTAAACGAAGCCCCGTGAAAGTTTTACAAGGTTTAGTAATGTTTTAACAGAGACCCAGTTGAGTTTGTGACTGGCTCTTTTCTCCTGATTTATCACCATGAGCCAGTGAAATAACTTTTCCCTATGGAGAGCTTGAGTCGGCAGTGATCTCAAAGAGAAGTCAGAGAGTAAATGGTGACCACATACTTTCAGGTTGAGATTTCCTGTCAAATGTCCTTTTAGACATGGCATTCTAAGTAAGCTCCCAATTGATCATTTAAGCAGTTACTACACCTGACCGTCATCTCATCTGATGAAACCGATCAACACACAGACGTGTTTGTTTTCATGTTTTATGGGAACTATCCATAACCCAACCCCTAAACCTACCGATCCCAGAACACTTTCTGCATTTTTACATTTTCAATAAAATTCCCTCAGTATGTATAAGCTGTTTTCTTCATGGGGACAAAAGAAAAAACAAAAAAAAAAAAAAACACAAGGACAAGAATTTCAGATATTACCATCTTTGTGGGGATATTTTGTCCCAATAATGTAGGGAATACTTGACAAACACACACACACACACACACACACACACACACAAAGGTTTTGAATAATGATTTGAACAAGCATTGCCTGAAAGTTTAATTTAGATATTTAGGTAATTAAACTGTATCCAGTTTGTTCCCCTTTATTCATTATATTTTTAATTTATTGATATTTATTTATTTATTCATTTGATTTTTCATTTATTAATATTTATTTCTGTATTAATTTGTACACCTGTTGTACTGACTTTGCAGCAAAGGAGTGTGGAGGAGTGCACACAGATCAGGAGAAGGTTTTAGATTCTCCTGGTTATCCAGAAGACTACCAGGATGAGCAGATTTGCTACTGGCACATTCGTGTGCGCTACGGCCAGAGAATACGCCTGCGATTCCTAGACTTTGACATTGAGGAGGATACAGCTTGCCTCAGTGATTATCTGGAGATCTTTGACAGCTATGATGATGTTTCAGGCTTTGTTGGCAGGTAAATAATAGTTGTTTATGCTTTATTCACTATAGGCCTTTTAAGTTACATTTGCTGAGAGTTTGCAATGTAGCAAAAAAATAAATAAATGTAGTCCAAAAATAATAAAATAATTTTGTGTCTATTCTGGATAGATACTGTGGGGATGAACTTCCGGAGGACTTCATAAGTACAGGTCTGTTGTTGTAGTAGTCATTTTAAGTTTTGAATACATTTATTATTTTTTCTTTAATTCTTCCTCTTAATGGTTAGTGAACTAGAGTTCAGAGATTTTATCTCTGTTTCTGTGTTGTCTCTTGCTCAGGGAACGTCATGACTCTGAAGTTCCTCTCTGATTCTTCTGTGACGGCTGGAGGGTTTCAGCTACAGTACGTCGCTGTGAACTCCTCCCAGGAGTGATCTCCTCTCCTCATAGCGAGATCATGCTGACACCTTCTCTTGACCACTGTTTAATTCACTAATCACACTTCTTTTTACAAGTGTATATATTACTTTTTTTTTAGCCACAGTGCAATTTAAAGCTAATAATAATCATAAATGTATGTGTTGGCATGTGCACATTTCAAAAACTCTTATAAAACAGTTTTCAAAATTGTATTTAATGTTTTACAGTGTTTTAATGTGAACAACATTTAACCAAAATAATTCAATTGAAATCTCTTGGCTTTAATAGAAATAAACCCATTGGAAATATAGTCTAAGGATTTTTGTGTGTGTGTTTTTTTTGTGTGTGTGTTTATGTAGCCCTACATATAATATGCGTTAACGGAAAGCATTTTTTGCATGTTGGTTTACCAACATTCTTCATAATATATTCTATGCCTACACAAATCAGTTTAGAACGCATAAGGAAGAGAAAATTATTTATAAATTAATTATAAATGTCATTATCCTGAGGTAAAAGTTGTAACTGTAGACATTCTAGCAACTCTGCTCAACACAACATACTAATAAAAAAATAAATAAATAAATAAACAAACAGAATTTGCCAATACAAAGTTATTGAATACTGCAGCAAATAACTGATGGAAAATATTGTTGAACAAAAACTTAAGAGTGCATATAGGCTACAATTCTTGATTTTTATTCAGACTGAGAATTATGATGCAGGGTCACACTTGGGCTAGTAATATATTTTTACCTTATTTAGCATTTCCCTCGGTCAGAGAATTTAGGTGGTAAGGTATACATTTAAATGTACATTTACAAACTGTGATGTTAGGTGAGCAATTTTACTAATAATATAAACTAATCAAATGACCATAGTGTCTTAATTTGATGTACGTTCATTCAATAAATAATTTATGAGAGGGCGGAGTTGACGTCGGGTTGAAGGTGACGCGTCAATCGCGCGTCATGTTTGGCGCCAGCATTTTCGCGGGGAGTGTGGAGTGGACAGACGCTGCGCAGTCTTGATCGTTTACAAACACTGTTGTATAAACCCCTCTAATTTCTCTGATATACATCGTGTGTCGATGATATCGCCTTCATTGGTTGTTAGCGTGTCCTCAAGCGCGAGGTGAGACATCTTGAGTTGTGTCTGTTCATGAGTGTGTTCAGGGGGTTGGGTGGGGAACATGATGATGGTAACTAGCTCGCTAATAACTCTGCAGTCTTTGTAGGGGAAGTTCCTGTTGGATTAGATTGATTACAGCAAAAACGTACATGGCGGTTTAAAGTTTCCAATTAACGGCATATTTTTTACCTCTGTATTTTTCTGTTCGCGAGGTGCCCACAAGTTGTAACTGAACGCTCAACGCACATGTTAACACAATAGCTTTAAAATGCAAACGATAATGTGGACTAATATTTGCACATTTGACTGATAAGTTAGCGGCGTTAGTGCACACTCTCCAGTAAATACTTTATATTTTAATGCAAAGACGTTATGATCTTTCGCAGAGAGGTTTAATAAAGATGGACGGCGTAACGTTATTGTTATTAGCCTCTCTGGCTAGCTAAACGTCGTATTTAGGGTTTATTCTCCCAAAATATGCCCTTAAGAAATAGTAGATCAATGCAAGAGCACAAAATAGAAATGTAGTCCAGTCATTAATGCCATTTGTGCGTCTGATATCTTATCATAACAAGAGAACACGATGTCCCGCATGCATCGATCTATTCTAGCTCACTTTCACTACCACTATAACATGCCATGGTTAAAATATTAACTTTTCATACATGCTGATTAACTGATTAATGCATAGTTTTTCATAATCGATTATTAATCGCAGGAATGCGTGATGCAAAACTCCCAGCCAGGGCTGTAGCATGTGAGGTGGAAGGTGAGTCACTCTGGGGTCCTAAAGAGGTCCAAGGGGGCACAGTAGTTTCTAAATATATTTTGAAAAGATTTAGAGGTCCAGAATTTAAAACTTCAGCCCTTCTCCTGTTACTCAACTGAATTGGTACTCCTTAATTTTTTTTTTTTTTTTTTTGCATTACATTCTCTCTTGTAATTAATGCTACAAGCACCATATTTTGTTGGTCATTGAAAAAAAAATCCTATCTGTAGCTATAATCCTAAACATATTCCTACCCCTTTACCTAACCCTACCCACAAGCTATCCCTAAAATCAGAGGGAAATGAAAGGTGAAAACACTGACGAAGAGGCATCTAGCCCTGGTGGTTAGCCTGAATTTGACAAACTGTAAACGCATCTCTCAAATCTGATTGATGTCTGATTGATGATTGGCATGTTGTTCCAGGAACATGTACTTTGTGAAATCAGATTCTTCTGATGTGCTATGCATTGCTTCAATGTGTTTTATTATGTCTTTCAGGTTGTGAGGATGATGGCTGCAGTACCTCTATCTAGTGCTAGCCTCCTACCTCTTCTAGATTGTCTTGAGGATGAAGCAGCTGGACTGTCAGAGCAGACAGATGCCTATATCACCATCGCAAAGTAAGTGTTAGCTTACAGTTTTGGTGTCTGTCACTGTTGAGTAGGTTTTAGTCAAATTTTTTGCTTTATTTTTATGCTGGATTTCTGCTTTATTTTATAACTTTGGCGTTTCTAGGTTTTAAAAACAAAAGGGTCTGAAATTGAAACATCAGGGGCTGAGGTGGGTAGTAAGATGACATGATTTGATACAGGGAATAAAGTATATTGCAGGCCTATATGCAGGGGCAGACAGGAGAAAAACATCTCGGGCACTGTAACCAGACCAGCTCACATTAGCACGCAGTCATACACATTAAAGGTAGTCACGCAAATGTGAGGTATTTGGTGGGTTCGGTGGTTGTTGTCTTTCATCCACATAAGCCAAAAACATATTTTCTGGATTTTCTCTGCCTAGAAAGTAAAATTAATTAAAAAATAATTTCATTTCTTCTACATAAATGATCCATTTTAAATACACATTCATCTTTCTAGAGGTGAAGTATCCCTTTAAAGAGGTTGTAAACCAAGTCCATGTAAATAGCGATTTAATCCAAGTCTTCTGAAGAGACTTCTATGCTTTATAATGTGAACAGTTTTCATTTGGTTTTTTATTCACAAACTAGGGCTGGCCAAAAAAAATGATTTTTCGATTAATCAGGTTTTTTTTTTTTTAATGTGGTTGATTCGATATTGAGTCTCAAAAGCCATGAATAGATTTTTTTCCTTGAACGTGTCTTATTGACGTTAATCTTATTACTAGTCATTTCCACTAGATTCAGTTCTGATCATGCTTGATACAGGTGCGCTTTTCAGTGTGAAAGGTGTTTGTTGAAGGAACTGTCAGTGTCCTCATCGAGCCAGTACTGCATGGTCACGAAAGTTTACCATTTGCATGCGTTTTCAAGCCTTGCCAATTTAAACATTGAAGTGAAAGGGAAGTTTTGTGAGCGCACACAACAGCGTCCAAATAATAAAATTAATTATTTCACGCCTCCTTGCACCTAAACAGACAAATTTACACATTTATCTCAAAATGCCCGCCTTTACGAGTATCCAAGTTAAGCTTATCGGTTATGGTTTAAGCAGTAGAGAAAGAACGCATGTGTATCCTTATTGAATCCGAAAGTGACAGCAACTTAATATCCCTGTTGCTGTCTGCAAAAGACAGAAAATGACTCTGCTCTTTACTTAACTGTTCTTGTAACTTTAAGGATTAACCTTTATTTATTCATTTATTTTTTTATTGTGAAGATTAAATGCAGTGTTATTTAACATTTAATTACTTTTTTCAATTTCAGTAGCTGAAAACTAATGTTAGACCTACCTGAAAAACTTAAAGCACTGGTTATTTCATTTGTATTTTTGTTCTAAATGTATTTGTGCTATTGTTGCTTGTTTGATTATTTGCTCTTTTCTTTTTTTTTTTTATTAATGAGTGGCTTTTGTCTGTCTTTTTTATTAATGAATGGCTTTTGTCTTGTTTTTGGCTTTAAATAACTTTGAAATTCATATTAGTTTAAATAGATTTCACTTTTATTTAAAATATTGGGTGTCAAACTTATTACAAAACAAAGATAAATTGGTTACAAAAAACCTAATTTATTGACTTATTACTTTTTTGTGATGGGGCTAGTGAATTTAATAATTGAATTCATTGAATTGAATCAAATCAAATTTAATTGAGATCTTGTGAGTTGAATCGAGACATCTGAATTTACACAAGCACATCAAATATTGTGTAAAAAATGCTCAACTGTGTTTGCTTGATGTATGAGTAAGTTTTTAATAGATTGATTAAGTCTTTGTCGTTCTTTCTTTCTCCTAGCCGTCTCAATGGAGAGGAAGGGCGTCAGTTTCTGCCTGTGGTTGTAAAGCATTTTGCACGTCTTAGTAAAATCCTTTTGGTAAGTTGTCGCTTCTGTGAATTAAGACTCATTCACTGGCACTTTGTGCTTGTAACTGAATATTTAGCATTATAATTCTTTCTCCAAAATAAACAAGAAAAGGTTATTTCAGAAAACTGTATATCTTAACTAGGCATCAACCCTGTAAATCTTTTTATTTTTTTCAGGTACATATCTCCAGTGAGAATGAGGAGCTGTGTCAAGCTGCACTGCAGGCTTTGGGATTCTGTGTCTTCCACTCACACATCGTTTCAGTCATACCAGGTAAAAAGTTTAATTCTCTAGTATAATATTACACCCCCCCCCCCCCCCCCCACCCCATAAGTAGTAGCGTCCATAATCCTCAATTTTCCCCATTGTTTCCTTCAGCAAATATTTCCGAAGATATTCTGTCTACACTCTGTAATGTCGTGGTAAAGTCCAAGGAGAAGTTTACATGCACACGAGCATTATGGGTGATTTCAAAACAGAATTTTCCGCCAGAGGTGGCATCCAAAAAGGTTTGCTTTAAAAACTTGGATTTAATGTTTTTCCCCCTGATATGATATTGTGTGTGGCTAAAATGTTTTCTACATTTCAGGCCCCAGAGATTCTCAAGAGTCTGGAGGCCTTGCAGACTCGAGAGGTTCAGTCAATCCTCATTGACCATGAGTCCCTCAATGTTGTTATAAGGTTTGATGAAGTTTCTCTTTCTTGGTACTGCCATTTTGCAAGGTCCTTCATACTTGACATAATCTGTTAATAAGATTTTGTGATGACCGTCAGGTTGCTGGAGCAGGCTCCCACTCAGATGGCTGCTGGAGCCGTGTGCTGGGCCAAGCTGGTTGTTCCTCTCGTGGTTCATTCGGCCAATAAAGTGCGCTTGCGTGCGGCAGCAGCACTGGAATTGGGCATGCCTCTTCTTCTGGAGAAACAGCAGGAGGTGGCAGCCATTGTAGAGCCAATGATGTCCTCTGTAAGTGTTATGTGGATGTACACAGCAGCTTTTTTTGTGCATATATTTATGTTTTTGCTCTCTATTGCTCTGCTGCCTCCAGATGCTCATCCCTGAAATGCAGAAGCTGTTTGCCTCTAAGAATGAAACGAATATGCTAAAGCTCTGGCCCTTGTTTGTGAAACTTCTGGGGAAAGTAAGATTCTCAGTCACTAAAAGCTGCTCTTCAAGCATTTTTCAGTTCTTAATCTTGGTATTTTCAGTGTCGATAAGGGTGTGTTTCTGTCTCTTTTCAGTTGCTCCACAAAGGCGGTGCTTTTATTAATTCCTTGCTGTATTTAGAGGAGCTGGGTTTCCGCAACTCTTCCCCTAATATTAAGAAGATTGCCTTCATAGCTTGGAAGAGCCTCATTGACAATTTTGCCCTTAATCCAGGCAAGTTTCTTTGGAAATTTGGTGTAAGAGCCACTGTCATGGAAAACCTGAGAAAATCAGAGAATTACAAAATTGTGTCTTGTGGAAAGTCATGATGATAAGGTCATGGATATTTTTTATGCTTGGCTCAAATATGTTGGTGTTTAAAAATCCTTGTTTAGTGATCACAACTGACACGCCATTGAAATTTATTGGTCAATAAGTCTGAGAACTCTTAGTAACCGTCCAGCGACAGTTCATGATTATTAAGCGTTCTACATTTTCTCCCCTTTTGTTTTAAAGTTGTAACTGGTTTCTCTTGAGCAGATATCCTGTGCAGCAGTAAGCGTCTGAAGCTCCTCATGCAGCCCCTTAGTTCCATCCAAGTCAGGACTGAAGCTCTTCTGCTCACCAAGCTGGAGGTGTGGTGGTATCTCGTAGTCAAGCTTGGGCCCAACTTCTCCGCTAACTTTGAGCAGGTAAAATTCACTGTTTATGTTGATAGATGACTATCTTTGCAGACAGTTGTACCTAATGTATGGCCATGGTTCTAATGGTTAATTTCAGCAACAGTTTATCTGTCCTTTCTTTCCACCTCCTTCTTAAAGGTTGGTGTGCCTCTACTACACAGCACACTTCCTCCTGATTCTCCACTGCAGTCCCCCACTACACCTGCTCGTACCCCTAACCCAAGCAATGGCACCCCTAATACACCTAAAACAGGTACAGCTCATTTCCTTGTTGTTCCTTCATCATAACATCATATAAAGGGGATGGAATGAGATGGCAGTTTCGATTAGTTTTGTTTATAAAATGTAAAAAAAAAAGTTCTATTTAAAGGTACAATATGTAGGAATTTTGTAATAAAACATTCAAAAATGACTTAAACAGTGTGATATATTTTCTGCAGTTGTGTACTTACAATATCCCAAAAGTCTCCAGAGTTTTTGTTTCAGAGAAATTCCAATTTTTTTATTCCTGTCCACAGCCATGATGTAACCATGGTGACAGATGTGGACAACTGCATAGTGTGTGACGTTTAGCTGCAAGCTGTTGTAATTTCGTTGAAACATTATGGACCATGGCAAGCAGACTTTGGGACAAAAAAGGAGAACTAAAATGAGGATCAATATCGGCGTGGTGTTTTTGAAATGCAGATAATGATCAGTCCCACACACTTTGAAGGGGTACTACTGCAGTGGAAACGAAAAGCAATCCGAACTGTTTCGCGCCGAGTCGAAGCGTACTGAGCCGAACCGTACCGTACTATGCAGTGGAAAAGCGCCATAATATAGCATAACATATCCCGTTCCTTGCAGTTTATTCATTATGGTGACATAAAATATTGCAATCAGACGTACAAGTAATACAAAAGCAAATAAATTACCTCATACGTGATCATGATTCATTAATTCCATAACATCTCTGTATGGTGAAATAACGTCATCTCCCATCTTTCAACTCTCCCTCATAGCATCATCAAGCTTCGCCTTTGTTATTGTTGGTAACTGCGACCTTTTGTGGTGAAAAATTGCTACATATTGTACCTTTAAGCTCCTTGATTCTTTTTTGTGTCTAGCCCAAATGTTGTCATATTAGCTGCATGTCATTTTTCATTTTCCTGTTCTCTAGGCATTCCCTCCTGCAGCACGACGAGCACTACTCCTCGCATGAATCTGAATAGCAGCATGCAGGCGTCTCAGTCCTACCGCTCCATTCAGCTCCTGGGACTAGAGATGACTCTTCACTGGCTCCTGGGTCCAGAGGTTATGGCCACAGCTGCTAAAGAAAGTCTTCAAATCAGCTTGGGTAATCATACACAAACAGTATTGTCTGAGCTTTGAAAATTGTTTTCCATCAGTGATGCATTGGGCTTCAAGGTCTATACAAAATGTAACGTGTGATATAAACGTGAATTTGATTAATAATCTAGAGATGTTCAGATGTACAACTACAGTCTAATATGTGGAACCTCACGTTACAGTGAAGTTCATATAATTGCAGTGATGGAATGAAATTTCAGATATAGCAGATGTCAACATGTTTTGTTTTTTTTTTCAGAGCCCTTGACACACCCGTTCCTCACCAGCCCGTCCTTCTTCAGCAGACATGCCTCTACCCTCATATCAGCCATCAGCGATGGCTTCATTGCTGTGGGAAAACATGCTCCAGGTATTCAACAATGTCATCTGCATAATGTAGCCTAAACTCCTAATGCCAACTTAACTTTCGCCTTTAGTTGTTTGTCTTTTTAAGGTTGTTTATTGTTAATTAGATCAGTCAGTAAAGGAAATATATGCTATTGCTGTCCATGTTAATCACTTTGTGTATTTATTTTCCACAGAAGCACTTCTTAATCTAATTTGGAGCAACCTGATCAGTTCTGTCAGAACAGCTATAGAAGCCGGTTGGTGAACATTTAAGTCAAAGATAATTTGCATGCTCTTTTGTTGTGAATACTGGCTAATTTAAAAAGTTTTCCTGTCACACTCGTCAACAGGTAACAAGAAGGAACGGCAGGGTTCAGAGGTCCTTACGCTTCTCCTACAGGCTCTTCAGTCCATCTTGTCTTCAGATGCTCTGCCTGCTGAACGTGCACTGGTAAGATAGCACTTCATGGTGAAAATGACCTGTTCAATTACTTTCACAAGAACAAGTTTTGACTAATAATTTTCTAATACATGTCATTTCAGGTCTACTTTGAGTATGAATTATCTAATGCTTTGAAAGAAAACTATATACAAGCACTGTAAAAGGTTTTTACTGACTGGCTTTTGTCGTGTATGATTTCAGACCATACTGTACATTTATGAGCTTTCAGAACTTCTGATTGAGGCTGTGTGTGACAACCTAACTGAACTCTTTTATACACATTGAACACAGAAAAAAAGTTTCCCTTAGGCTTAAGTGCAAACAATAAGTGTAGTAAATCAGTAGTAGTTTATCAAACATTCTGTATTTTTATCAAACATTCAGTAATCAGTAGTAGTTTATCAAACATTAAGTTCAAGTGCAAAAAAAGTACTGTAGTGCACAGACTCTTTATAATTGTTGTGAAATTGTCATTTTATTTTGCATCAGGGAGCTTGTGTTTTACTTTCACTTTCAAATTTGTGATCGCACAAACTACGTGTATAGGGATTCTACAAGATAGGACATTTATCAGACGTTTTCTGTTGCGCAGTGAATCCTCCCCCATTGTCACGCGATAAGATTTTAAGATTTTTAAATTGACAATTTGGCAATATTAGAGCTACTAGTATATTTTCCATTACATAAATGCAGCCTTGGTGAGCATAATAACTTGTTTCAAAAACAAAACTTTGAACTGTAGTAAATTTTTATGTTGGTTGTTGGTTCGATCCTTCTGTTCTAACTTTTTTTTTTTGCTCAAATTATTTGCTGCAGCTTTTGTTGGAAGCCACCATTAAAGGAATCCCTCAGAAGGTGCTTGGTTCTGCAGCTTATCAAGTGGCAAACATGGATTTGTTGAACGTAAGTTCTATTTTACCACTTATGGTAAAGCCTTGGTAAATTGTTAAACACAAATTTCAATTTTTCATCCATTGAATTTATGTGAATAAGATAATAATTTTCCACATGTTCTTTTCCAGGGTACACCTGCACTTTTCCTAATACTGCTATTTTACAAAAGTAACCAGCTTTCATCGTTTCTTGAAGATGAGAGGTAACCATAAGACTTAATTTTTAAGTCATTTAATACCTAATATCAAGACCAAAAGTAATATTTTGGAGAACTTTATTTTTTTGCATTAAACCTAAGAGTTATACTAATTGTTTTATTTCCATTGAAATTGTTTGCTTAACTTGTTTTCTTTGTCATCTAGCAGGTTTTTCTCTAGCCTGGAAACCCTTGTGAGCTGTGGATTTTGTGGACCTACATCGCCCCTGGCATTTGGAGAGGCTGTTTTAGGAGCGGTTAGTGGGAGTGCAGAGGTTGTAAAGAACAAGAAACAGCTCTGGAGGATGTGGAGTGTGGTGGTAAACCCTCTGACGGACACAATCACTCAGGTACTTAATTTAAATAATCTGTGGTATAGAATAAACGTGCATTTGAGTGCCAGTCAAGCCTTGTATTTCACTACTATTGATAAATCATTGTTCCAACATAGACCAATGAAGTGAATCAAGGAGATGCTCTGGAGCATAACTTCAGCGCCATTTACAGTGCATTGATGTTTCCAGTCTTTCATCTGCTTCCTGGTTCAGCCCTACCCCAAGTAAGAGCCAGTCATAGCTTTTGTACAATGATTTCTCCATTATAATGCAAGTATTTAATTTTATTTGTCCTTTGACTTAATTTCTTGAATAGATCACTCAGAAAGCCATGATCAGTACTTGGTCCAGGCTTTACAAGGCATTTGCTCGCTGCTCCGCTTTGGTAGCCACAGCTGAGGAGAATATATGCTGTGAAGAGCTGTGTGCTAAGATATCTGCCTCTCTTGAAAGCGATGCTCTGAAAGTACGGCACTTCCAACCTTGGAAAAGTTATTAAATTGTGCACCTAATTAGGGTGTTGAGTCTATTATAATTGGTATCCTTTTGTTTGTTTTAGAGTCTGCCTATGCTAGATGCAATAGCAAACATCTTGCTGGTCATCATTGAGAGTATGGACTTTTCTCCTTACACGCCACAATTTCAACAGAAGATGAAATGTAAGGATTTTGCTTCAGTTTCAAATGGGTAAAGTTGTGTTAATGGCACTGTGACCATATTTTCATGTGCTAATCCCTAGCTCCTCATACACCTTTGAGTTGGGTACGCAAGAAAAGCAGAGCCCTGGGGAATCTCTCGACCTTCCACACTCTCCTGATCCAGACTCTAGATGCATTTCTTTCTGTGAACCCCTCAGAAGAATCTGTGGAGCCCGCCTGTGGAGCTTTAAATGGAATTGGCTTGGTGATGGTCTCCATCTTGTCTACTCTTTTGACTAATATAACACTGCCCACGTTCCTACAAGAGGTGCTGTCCACCCTCACCAAACCACTCTCACACCTTTATGAACAATTCTCCAGGTTTGTGGAGTCTTCTCATCCTTCATACATTGTATTTTTCCCCCTTTTGTGTAACACTTGTTTTTCTTTTCATTTATAAAAGTTATGATGAACCATCAAAGCCCAGTGCAACACTTGGACACAAGGTAAGAATTTACTTGTGTAAATTTGAAATCAAAACCACAGCAGCTCTGATGCGTATTATGTTCTCTCCTAGTTAGAGAAACTGGCCACAGACCTGCTTGGCTGCCTTCAGACACAATTGACTCAGCACAACGATGAGATGCTTGGTCTGTTGTCGCCCTTGCTCTGTGTGCTTTTTCCACACAAGAGCAAGCAAATTCGCACTGTGGTCACTCAGTTCTGGAATGCCACCTTTGGAAATGCACTCACCTTGACTTACCCCGAGCCTCTGAAGTACGTTTTCATTGCATTGCTGGGAATTTGTGTAACGTGTTGTGTAGGCAGATTTTCAGATATTTAAATCAAGGATGCAATTTTTCCCCTTTTGATACTGACAGTATCTTTTATTTTTATGAGTATTTTTTTTTTTCTTTTTCTTTTTTTAGGTCTGTGTTAAGTCAGGCTAAGCAGAAAACTCTCTTGATTTTACCTGGTTTTGGAGCTATCGATGCACCAGATGATTGCAGTGGACAGTATACTGTGCGTATAGTGTTGCTAACAATAATGTAAATCCTGAAGAACGCAGAGCTGTTTACCTTAAACATGTCATCTCTGTTAGTTTTTTTTTTTTGTTCCTAAAAGCATACTAAATTTATGTTCTCTAATAAGGGTGAGAGTTCTCAGCTGGACACACAAATTAGTGGGGTGAAGATGACCTCTGTGGGAAAGAGGGACTCTCTCCTGGCGAGGGCAGACGAGCTTAAAGGAAGAGGCTCTGTACATGTAGCAAAGCCAGTGTCTGTAAGTAAAAACAAAAAAAGAATCTGAACTTGAAGATGTCAATGGTGGTGCTTAATTGGCTACCACAGCATGTCCCTCAACAAACCACCTGGTCTCTCTCTAGATCAAGCTGGACTTTGGATCGCCCAAGCCTTTGCGACGAGAAGCTATTGAGGAGGCGGCATCAGTAGATTTTGTTTTCATTCCACCTGAGACAAAGCAAAGAGTGCTGACTGAGCACCAGAAAGAGGTCAAAAGGACTAAACGGTAAGTTTAAGTTCTGAAGTTTAGACCTCTGCCATGGCATGAAAAAAGTGTGTAATTGTACAAGACGGCACATTTTTAATTTTATACGTATAGGCCCATTTTCACAGACAAGCTTAGCACAGATTAGGCCTTAGTTCAATTAGGATATTTAAGTTCCTTTTATAACATGCCCTAGAAAAAAAAAAAAAAAAACATTACTGGTGTTATGTCAGTGCAAGTTGCTTTCAGTTAAGACAGTTCAAACATGTATTCTAGTCTGGAACTAGACTTAAGCCTCGTCTGTGACGGTCTGGTAGTCTGTCATCTTTAAAGGGATAGTTCATCAAAAAGGTTTTAATTATCCCATGATTTAATCTCAAGCCATCCTAGACTATTTTCTTTCAGATGAAAACAATTGGAGTTATGATAAAAAAATATCCTTGCTCTTCCAAGCTTTATAATGGCAGTGAATGATGCTTCTTATTTTGAAGTCCAAAAAAGTACATCCATCCTTCATAAAAGTAATCTGTTTACTAAAATTTAGTTTATACTATATGAACAAAAATAACTAGCTTTTGATTTTCAACTTGCGCTAAAACAGTAACTTCTAAGGTGATGTAGCTTAAGCTTACTTCTTGCGGTTAAAACAAATATGGCTCCTCTTCTCTTATATCGAAATAATTGAATACTTCTAATTTGTGACTAGTGTTTTGTTTTGCTCTATCCTCTGCTTCTGCGTTTGTCAATGTGTTGGCGTCAGGGCAGAGATTACTCTTTTGGCATAAATCGATTTGCGTAGGCCGCCTGCCGGAAGCTAGATATTTTAGTTTGTAAAGTTTTAAATATGGATATTTTTCTTACAAAAGCCCATCGCTTCGCTTCAGAAGGCCTTTGTTAACCCCCTGTAGCGAAGTGAATAGTGAATTAATTTTATGATGGATTGATGCACCTTTTTTGGTCTTCAAAATCAGGAGCGCCACACGCTACCATTGAAAAAAAAGCTCAGAAGAACCAGGATATTTTTTTTATATATCTCAGAAATCCAAATGTAGTAAGATTTTTTAGAAAAAAATTAATCTTAAACATCTTTTATTTTTGAATAACTAAACCTCCCTCTCCCCCTGAACCTCAACATGGTTTCATAAAAGGGAAAGCAAAACAATTATAACTCTGTGTCTGAAAGATACTCTTAAGCCATCTGAGGTGTATATGACTGTAAATTCTCTAAGCATTTTGAAAAGAAATTGTCATTTATGTTTTTTGATTGGTTATTTATTTTGTATAAGGGTTGACATTCCTGCTCTCTATAATAATCTGGATGCCTCCCAGGACACCACAGACTTTTCACAGTGTACTCAGAGTCAGGAGGAGTCAATGTACGTATTGGAATTATGGATTTGCTTTTACTCCTTTTTTTTTTTATCCACTATTAAAACCTGTTTCTTCTTAGGGACAAATTGACAAAAGATGATGGGGATCAACCTAAAGAAGGGGATAAGGTAAAACGGCAGTTTTCAAACTCTGGCACTGCTGATTTGATTATGTGTGGGATATGCGTGCATGCTTTCTCTTATGTGTTTTAATTGGTTTTAATTTTGTTTCCTCCCCTAAGGAGATTGCCACAAGTGATGAACCATCCCCAGATGTTAAAATAACCCAAGAAGGAACCAGATCAGATGTAGAAACACCAGAAAAATCTGTGCAAAATAAAGATCAAACTTTAGAGAAGGATCAGTCGCCATCCAATGGCATCACAATTGAAGCGAGTGGGCATGAGAAAAGTGATCTAGAGGGGACCAGCCCTAATGTTTCGGGTTCATCTGATATGATATCAGGTACACCTCCTAAACCCAATAGCAGACGTCAATCATTCATAACATTAGAGAAATATGTTGAAGGGAAATCAAGTCCGGCAACTGTTGCATTTACTGGTCCACTCACCCGGAAATCAGGTAGACTGGATTCTTCAAAGGAATCGAAGTACACGCCAAATGACTCACAACCTCAGACTACTAAAGAGGATTCTCAGGAATCTCAAAAGATCAGCAGCACTGACCCATCTGCTCAAAATGAGAAAGTTGGGGAAGAGGCAAAAGATGAGATTAAGTCAATGGGAGATCATCCTTGTGAAGGTACTGATGAGGAAGGGGATGTGGTCCCTGACACCCAGACCCAAGTATCTAGTGATGCATCTGGTGTTAAGAGCAGTCCTGTGTCCAAAGCCAGCATTGAGGAAGACTCTCCTGAAAAAGATTCACAAAGTCTTGCTAATTCTCAATCTAGTCAAGAACCAAGAAGGTCGAGTAGACGGCGAAGTAAACCTGTTCGCCCAGGGGAAGATCCTGGGGAGATGAAAAGCAAAGAACAAGTCAGTCAGGTTGCAGACTCAATGACAAATACACATAAGTCAATACTTACGCCAGCAAGTAGCACTTTAACTGGAAGACGAATTAAGGTTCGGGAAGACCGTAAAGTTGTAGGTGACCTGCTGAAAAGTAAAGGGATGAAAGGAGAGCTTAGCCCAAGTGGTTTACAGATTTTCTCTGCAGAGTCTTCACAGGCACTTCCACGAGTAAGTCAAGGTGAGACTTCTCACGAAAGTTCACCTGTAGCCCAGTCAGATAGCCAAAGCGGAGAGAGACTGCCAACTCTCAGTGAGTCTAAAAGTCTGGCATTGGGTAGATCTCCAAAGAAAACTAGAACACATGACGAATCCACATACAAGGAGGCAGATGAAAACTCTCAAAATGATTCTCAAAATGCCACATCCCCTTCGAAAAAGAAACATTTACAGACACCTCTTTCTGATTCTGAGGCTGATGGCCAGCAATCTCCACGAACGCGAAGAACAAGAAGATCTGAATCTCAATTACTGCAGACCAAAGAAGAATCGAGTCCGACAGATTCCCAAACAATGACAAAGATGAAGGGAAGAGCTATGAGGAGGAAAACTGCAGAAGAAGAGACGGACTCTAGTAGAGATGTTACATCAACTGTAAATGCTGAGGAGTTAAGTGCAAGCCAAGATTCATCTCAAGGGCTTGGTAGATACAGAACTCGACGATCTAAAGGTTTGTTGGCTGCCGACAATATGGAGTCTGAAACCCCTGATAGCCAAGAAGATGGGCCAAGGCCTAAAAAGAGACTGCGGAAACCCCCGTCAAATGAGGTGCTACCAGTTGCCACAGAACCTAAAGTTTCTGAGATAGTGGCAGAAAAGGAGGATGCTAATATTCAATCAGAAGTATCAATGGAGATGTCACAAGATGAGGTAGATCCTGAAGCTAGTTTGGAAATTTCAGTTAGTGAGACCAATGAACTTAAGAAAAACAAAGAGTTTCCTTCCTCTTATAGTGTATCACATGAACAGTTCAGCTCTCAAAAAGGAGCAGTAGATGACAAAGTTGAGACAAAATTGAAAACTGAAACTGATGCAGAATTAAATACTGGAACTGATACCGAAGAAAAGGAGATTATCAGCGGTAAGGGAGAGGATGAAGAAGCAAATTCATCTTCACAGGCGGTATCAGAAGACTTAAAGTTTGGCAGTTTGCGTAAGTGCCCACATACCAGGGGACGGGGCCGTGGACGTAGGCGATCTAGAAGCTGCAACTGCTTTTTAAACAACCAGGAAGTGTTCTCACAGGGCAGTGACATCCAAGAATCAAAGGATCTGAAAAATGAGCAGGTTCCACTTGTTGTTGACACCCTGTACTCTAAACCTGAGCAGTCAAGCCCAACATCCGTATTGGAGGAAAGCAAGAGCTCACCAATTGTAGATTTACCAGTTGCTGATGTTCAGCCGTATTCAACCTTGCCTGCTCAACTCCCATGTGAGGTTGTGTCTTCTGAAAGCCCCATTACAAAGCTTGGTGTAATTGTTTCTCAGCTGTCTGAAGCAGAGGAAGAAGCACAGCTTGAATTATCCAACCTGAGGGATGAATCAAACAATGTGTTTGTAAAAGTCCAGGAGGTAGAGTCAAATCAGTTGGAGAGTTCTGGGTGCACAGACAGTCCAAAGCACAACAAAGAATTAGACAACCCTTCAGTAAGTCAAGAACCACCCCAGAGTTCAACACCTCAAGACACCTCTCCAAGTCAGGGTCGCCCAGTGGAAGATGCACCTATATGCCAAGAGCAACTAGAGTCTTCCCATGTCCATCAGGAGGATGCAGTGAAGGAAAGTGAAGACCTTGCTGTTCCAGAGCCGAGTGGAGAAAAGGTTGTGTTGCTAGAAGAGTCAAATGGCAAAGAATTGCTTGACAAGAATGTTGGTCTCATCGAGAAGGATGAAGACACTCAGATTGACAACCGGGCTCTTTCTGCTGATATGCAGGAGTCGTCTGTACCACCTCAAAGTAGTACCTCTGAAGCCTGCTTAGATTCCCCACCCAAGCCTAAACCTTTAGACGCTCTCAGTGGTGAGCTAGAGCCTGGCCAGAGCCCGAGCAGAAACCGATCTCGTGCCTGGTCTCCATCAGCTTCTCCATCTACCAGTATTCTGAAGAAGGGACAGAAGAGAACATGTGAAGAAGATACCCCATCCCCCCTCCAAAAGGTATTGGACAGTTCTTAATTTTGAACATTAAAATCTAAATGTTCAATGAAACAGCAGTAATGTAAGCTTGTAGTGGGTTCATACAAAGAGAAAATCATCTATGTAATGTTGTTGTGGTTGTGCAGTCTCGTCGAGTGTCTTTTGCAACTCCAATTTACCATCAAGAACTGGCTGATGATATTGATCGACGTAGTCCGGTTATTCGCACAAGCTCACCTAGGTCAAAAGTCTTGAGTGGACAGTCGAAGGTTTGTGATAAGTGTTTTGAAATGATTAGATCTAGATGTAAAACTGTGCTTGAATTGTTTTTACGTTTCTTTCATGGCCTGTTAAATGTCTTCATACAGTATATCACTACACCCACAAAAGGCTATTCAGGTCTAAGTCCACGTAACCTCCGTAGCCCTGGATCCAAAAGCTCTAAAAAATGCCTGGTAAGGGTTCTCTTGCAATGTACTAAAATATTTAATTCTGTTTATTTTAATCTCATGCAGTCTACTTATTCAAATCATTTATTTATCAAATTCAAAGCAATTAAGACAATGTGAAAGTTGCAATGAAAGTTCATTTAGTTTTAACAGTACCTGCAATGGAAATGGTGTTAAAATATTCCTGTTTCTTTATCATAGATTTCGGAAATGAGCCAGGAGCCACGTCCTATTGCTAAAGATTGTGTTTATCCAGCACTTGTTGGCTGCTCTACCCCTGTAGAGGCAGTTTTACCACAGATATCCTCCAACATGTGGTAAGCCATATTTCCTCTTCACTAGGGTTTGGGTTCAGTTTAAGGTCATTCCTCATTTTTAATTTACTGACATTTTTAGAGGATTTGGTGAACTCCTAATAAATTAC